GTGTGTGCACAAAACAGTGAGATACATTGCACAGGACCAAGTAGGCCGAAACGACCCGAGCGCAGTAGACAATTCGAGTCGAGTCAAAAACAGTCAGACGACAGCGCGAATCAGGCATAATCCGGCAATCTGATTGGTCTTGCAGGAATAGGGAACAAGTGGCAATGTAGAAAAATCTCTCGCTGGACTGTGCAGCAATACTCGATAGCTTCGGAGGTGTTGCGTTTCCCCTGATTCCGCTCGATTCAGGCAGCATTATGAAAATGTTGAAATCCCTTTCGGATAAAAAGAAGCGCGTAATGCTGGAGCATGCGCAGTTGGACGACGTACGGGTACATATATATATATATATAAATCGCGCCGTTCGGACCACTAGGTTAGCTCGCTTCCGCTCGCCAATAATTATATATAATTAACCCTCGGCGCGCATGCGCAGCGAGGGTTACGGTAGTTACCCTCGGCGCGCATGCGCAGCGAGGGTACTGTAGTTGGGTATGTCTGTGTGTGTGTGTGTCTGTTACTCTCAATCTCACTTCACGAGTGTCTGTTCGTCTCACAAAGGATACGACCTACTTAACGGGCAATGAAGGTCAGAAAATATGTGGGATTTTCTCTGAAACTGCTCCGTTGCAGAGCTAGAGCGTGAAAAAGCCAATATGCAATACACAAACGGAGTGGTGCGGCTAACTACGACATAATCGCTCCGCATGCTCTGCGTACTCGGAGGCACCAGAAGATGCAACGCAGGGCGTGTATCGCCTCTTGCATCCCATCTAGTAGTGTAGTTAGCCAGCGTCAGACTCTGCGCTAGCTGGCAAGAGACCACGAGTAATAGCTAAATGAAAAGCACTAAAGTGCAAACCCTCGGCGAACTGGGGATGCGCGGTACCGCTAATTGATGGGCTGGGCTGCTATTAGTATGCGTTTACTCGTGGTCTCCCGCTAGTAGCTCGCAGAGAGTCTGACACGGGCTAGCTACAGTTAGTAGATAGTATGCGAGAGTCGATACACGCCCTTCGTTGTGACTTCTTGTGCCTTCAAGATACACAGAGCAAGCGGACCCGGTCGAGTTTAAAGCCTGTTGAAAATATAAGCGCATGCGCGTTTTCCGCAGCGTATAAAATGGCCGACTACGCATTAGCCGTACAATGGTGGAAGCGCTCCTAGCTCTGCAACTAGGCCTAAGCCAATTATGCTAAGAAACACACCAATTATTTAATTAGGTTAATCTAATGTAAATTGCCCATTATTTCAGCATTCACATCCTATTATTCATATTTTTAATGGAAATTATACTGCATCATATTCATCTTTTTAACGGCAATTATATTGGCTCCACGTCCACGAGATCGACGCTTTCCCGTAGGCGGAGGGTTTCTATGGACCGCCCTCTTTCTCGCCAGGTCTGATGGCCTGGGAGCACGCAAGTGAGGCAAAAGTAAAGAAGGTTCTGAGAATGAGTCGCCACTGCCAGAACAGACGCTCGATATATCAGCAGCGGGTGTAACAGAGCTCGCAGATAGAGACGCGGACGACGAGGAGAGTGTCGAGGGATCCGGATACTCCATTTCTGTATACACGGTTTATGGCGGGCTTGGGTACACCCGGGTGCACCGGTGTTCATGCACTAAGCATATGCGCATGCGTAGATTGGACCGAAAATTCCCTAAATTCGCGAATTATGCGAATCCTGGGAAGTTCCTATTATTCCAAGGATTATGCTAGCTTAATTGGCGCAGGCCTATCTGTTAGCAAGGCTTGAATTAGCAGCAAGGTTGGTCAAGATTGCTGTTATGAAGCACACAACATGTTACCCTCTTCTCAATTGATGCTGTCCTACACAGTGTTTCACTGCTGCGCAATGGTCATTCACCCAATGGCTGTAACATTTCTTTCAAGTGTGAGATCCATAACCCTGCTAATTATTAATGTCAGTGCATAATCACTGGCACGGATAGCTTTCTTCACTGTTTACCTCAGACTTATTACTCCGCACATTTAACTGCTCAATTCTCCACACCTGGTATATATGCTGAAAGTATGGGGAAGAGTACACACAGTCAGAAAAAGTGGAAGAAAGCCGGCTGGGAGAGCACAAAATTAACCCTCGGCGCGCATCTGTCTGTCTGTGTCTGTGTGTCTGTCTGTTACTCGTCATCTCACTTCTCGAGTGTTCGTTCGTCTCACAAAGGATACCACCTACTGAACGGGCAATGAAGGTCAGAAAATATGTGGGGTTTTCTCTGAAAAACTGCTCCGTTGCAGAGCTAGAGCGCGAAAAAAGCTAATATGCAAATAGGCAACGGACGGGACGGCTTACCACGGTCTGATCGATCCGCGTGCTCTGCGTACTCAGAGGCACCAGAAGATGCAACGCAGGGCGTGTATCGCCTCTCGCCATGCTATCTAGTAGTGTAGTTAGCCCGCGTCAGACTCTGCGCGAGCTGGGAAGAGACCCACGAGTAACAGCTAAAAACTAAACCCAGCCCATCATTAGTGTACGGCGCATGCGTTTACTTACGCGTGCGCGTCACAATGCGCCGAGGGTTTGCACTTCAGTGCTTCATTATATATGTAACCGTACGTCGTCCAACTGCGCATGCTCCCAGCATTACGCGCTTCTTTTTATCCGAAAGCGGATTTCAACATTTTCATAATGCTGCCTGAATCGAGCGGAATCAGGGGAAACGCACACCTCCGAAGCTATCGAGTATTGCTGCACAGTCCAGCGAGAGATTTTTCTACATTGCCACTTGTTCCCTATTCCTGCAAGACCAATCAGATTGCCGGATTATGCCTGATTCGCGCTGTCGTCTGACTGTTTTTGACTCGACTCGAATTGTCTACTGCGCTCGGGTCGTTTCGGCCTACTTGGTCCTGTGCAATGTATCTCACTGTTTTGTGCACACACAAGAGTGACTCATACCAATTGTAAGCGCGCTTCCGCTCGCCAAAAATGCCATGCATTCGCCTACTAGTTATACGACGCACCGTAGTCGTCTTAGTGCGCATGCGTTAATTGGCGAGCGGAAGCGAGCTAACCTAGTGGTCCGAACGGCGCGATTTTTCTATATATATATATATATATATATATATATATATTATGTCACCGTACGTCGTCCAACTGCGCATGCTCCAGCATTACGCGCTTCTTTTTTTCCGAAAGGGCTTTCATAATGCTGAGCGGAATCAGAGGAAACGCAACACCTCCGAAGCTACCGAGTATTGCTGCACAGTCCAGCGAGAGGTTTTTCTACATTGCCACTTGTTCCCTATTCCTGCAAGACCAATCAGATTGCCGGATTATGCCTGATTCACGCTGTCGTCTGACTGTTTTTGACTCGACTCGAATTGTCTACTGCGCTCGGGTCCTACTTGGTCCTGTGCAATGTATCTCACTGTTTTGTGCACACACAAGAATGACTCATACGATTAGACCCCAATTGTAAGCGCGCTTCCGCTCGCCAAAAATGCCATGCATCCGCCTACTAGTATTATGCGCTTCTTATTATACGACATACTGTGCGGAATTTGTTCTCCATCCTCTTACAGTCCGTCCAGTTGGCATCCGCGGAGGATAGAGTTTTTAGTCGAAGAAAAACAGACAGAGAATCGTGTCTTCGGTTCGAATTTTCTATCTATGTATGCTCGGCCGTCGAAAGTCCTCACGACAGAGAGGCTCGTCTTTTTCAGGGATGATCGAGAGCGGGCAAGGCAACGATACTCCAGAGGTAGACAGACAGAACGCCCGGCCGTCGAAAGTCCTCACGACAGAGAGGCTCGTCTTTTCAGGGACCATTACGAGATCTTGAGCGGCCAGGGCAACGACACTGCTTCTGTGTCAAGAGACAGACAGACAGAACGGCCGGCCAGGGCAACGATACTGCTTCTGTCTCAAGAGACAGACAGACAAAACGGCCGGCCGTCGAAACATTACATTACCTTTCTGTTGCTACTTTCTTCTGGTCTAGTTTCACTAGCCACGTATGCGCAAGCTGCCTTACTCAACCTGATATGACAACACCATAATAACTTCTGTTAAAAAGGCGATTTTCGTAAAACTACTGTGTTTTAACGCGCATTTGCGTCAGTTTTACGCGCTGAATCGCGGTAAGTCTCATAAAAAAATCGCCTTTCATCGTGAGAAATACGCGCTTTTCTTAGCAGCGACCTCCCGCCCTGTCGCGCTATGAGGCGATATTACGCGCTACTTTCGCGCGCGTTTTTCGCGTAAAATTATTACGTGAACTAACGCTTGCGCTGTACAATACTGAGTGTTCTATAAAATTTAATGGAAGATCCACTGTCTGAATGAAGGCCTACTCTTCCTTCTTGAAGAGTGCACGATGGTTTCTGCACTTGATGTTCATTTTCTTATGGAGAATCTCCTTCCAGCGAGTGGCCGAGTCATCTGCAGTGTACACGTAGTTGACATGACCTAGGAAGAACATCAGAACACTATTAGTTACACAGTTCAAATTTAACATAAGAACAAATGGTGTGTGAGCACACAGAGTGCACGGTTTTACTAATCTTTACAGTATGGACAGTGCTATCAAGCTACATAAGAATATTTTGGGTGGAAAAAAGAGTCACACGTTGCATACAAACTAGAAGAACATTAGCTACATCGTATTCCAGCAATTATATCCTGCCACAAGATCTCTCGTCCCTCTGCTGGTGTACAGTTGCTTTTAGCCGTCTCCTCCTTTGTGAAGACAAGATCCATTAGCTTCAGCGCAAGTGAAGAGGCACTCAATGTCAGCACTTCCTTCCCCTTGACCTGCCTCTGAGTGAATCCGTCAATTCTTACATGTTCACCATTGGGATCTCCAAGAATAAGGAAGCTGTATCGAAAAACCATGCAAATGTAGGAGAAGAAATGTGTCAAGTAGGTACAATATGGAGTGCAGCATGTTAGAGCCCTTACCATGAGAAGGAGCAGGGGAAGGAGAGGGACTAAGCACCGATGAATCACTCTCCAAGCTATCCTGACGGTCCTGCATATTGTATATAATGACACCATAACATTTGTGTTTAAAGAGTAAACATACTGAGAGAAAGCCTGGGTTCTTTTTCTTTGCTCTCTTCAAATCATTCTTGATGGTCCTCACTTCCCCCATAAGTTTAAACAGACAAGTAGTTAACTGCCCAATATTAGGAACATCCTGCTGCATGCCACAGTGAACCTGCAATCAAAAAACCTTACAAGCTTTAGGGATTTCACTTTTTTAAATTACAGCTGGTGGGTAAGAGTAGGATGATGAAAGCCGTGGCAGAACAGGCATAAAAGGTGTACGCCCTGAAACAACAGCGTGGATAAACATAAAAATTAATGATACATTCGTATACTGCTTGTACGTTGTTCCTGTAGATACTGTGAAAACCCATGGTCACCGGGAAAGGGAGGGAACGATGGGCTAGCAGATCCACATGGCGGAGAGGGTGGGAATGATGTACCAGCATCAGACATTCCAGGTGACAAGGACGAAGTGGGAAATGCTGATGAGTAGACTGGTGGCCAGCTTGGAGAACCATAAGAGCCACCTTCTGGATGTCCTGTCATCCTTTTGTTTGAGTCCAAATGGGAGAAAATACGCATTGAACTCTCAATCTTTTCATTATCTTTCCCCTGACTCTTAGCCTTAATAGTAGCTAATGCAGCTTTCTTTGCATCCTGGATAAAATTAAGAATGCATAATAATATTATTATCTATTATCTTAACTACTGTATTTCTGTTGACCTTAGCCTCATCATCCACGTTTGAATCTAGGATTGTGGCAGAACGGGAATTATTGCTCGAGCAAGCTACATGCTTATATTTACCTTTTACTTTTTTACTCTTAGGTTCCCCTTCTTGGGAGGACACCCTGGATATAATGTAGCTTACACTTTTTAGATAATACATATCCCACACATACTTTTCCTTTTGGGCGTGAAAGTTGTAGAATCTACATCAACAGTTTTAATCCCCAGTCACACTTAAAAAATCAGTTTATGTTAACCTTTTTTAGGTTTTTTCGTCTTGACAGCATCAGAAAAACTGGAATCGGATCCAAACCCATCACTGCTGCTCTGTTCAACCTCCATCTTTGCTGTGTACACAACACCTCAAGATTGATAAAAAGAACAATAAAAAACACTTTTTACCTGGCTTCTTTGTAGGTGTCTTAGTGGCCCAAGCTTCAGTCTTACTGCTAGAGTCTGGAACATGCACAATTGGTATTTGATAGCCGATTTATATACACAAATGCATACACTTTCTTTTGGGTGTTGACGAAAACGGTTTGGCACCTATATAAATGCAAAGTAAATCCCATATTATTATTGTGTTGTGCAGTGCACCAGAAGTAGTTGCCTTAAAATCAACAGCTACCATATCCCCATCACTACTGCTCTCCTCAACCTCCATCGCAGTATATACCTGCATTCACTAGTATGCGCTTTACTTGATGTTCATTAAAACTACTCTACCTGGAGTGGGTTCTTTCGTAGGGATAGGTTCAGCCTCATCACCAGAGTCTACTGCTGCATATCAAAACCAGTTGACAGATGTATGTACAAGCACACACCTGTGAACAGTGCCCATACCCTTTTCCAATTCATCTCGATCATTCAGCATGGAGGAGTAGCTACCTAATAATAGTTATTCATACAGTAGATAATAAAGTACATCAACCACCGATGCCAGGCACACCTAAGTACTTATTGCTAGCAAAACATGGGGAAGAATGATGTTGGCTATCAAGAGAAAAGACAAGGCCAGTTCTAACTTGCACTACTACCTAACTAGTTTTTCACACATCTGGTTGGTGTATTGTTAGAAACCACATACAACCTCACCCTTTCCAAGAATCCTAACTGGGTACCAGCCTTTGCCAAACTTCCCCTCTCCAACATCTCCCTCAACCACATCACACACGTCCTTCCCGCTCACGGATAGGTCTTTTGCAGCAAGAACATCAAACTACAGTGGCCGACAAGTGCCATCCTTCCAATTTCCATTTCGTGTTTCCATTTTCCAAATTCACCTCCCATTTTCCATTTTGTACCTCCACTTTCTGTTCGCCATCACGCGCTGCGCACGGTGCTAGGTCCCTACGGCTCATCAGAGAATCGTGGATAATGGACGCACACAGAAAAAGACATGTGCCGAGCCTTAGGGTTGCTGATGCGGCTGGGAATACTGCCGGCCTGATTGCGCCGCTAACGTCCCTCGTCGACATTATACCGCTCCGTGGGGTCTCCAGGTGGGTGTGGCGACTAGCGAGTGCGGCAGACCCTTACGCGGAGGTCTGGGTAGCGAGACCAGTGTAGCCAGGTGACGTCCAGAGCGGTGCCGTCGGACATCCGACGTGCTGCATGCAATTATGAAGCCGAGAAAGGACGGCAGTCCGCGCCGCGCTGGTCAAGCTATCTAGAAGGCCGGGAAAACGGAGAACGGAAGCGTGAAATGGGAAGCGCAAAATGGAAAAAGGAAATAGAATTTGGAAATTGGAAGAGGTGAATTTGGAAAATGGAAAGACGAAATGGAAATTGGAAGGATGGCACTTGTCGGCCACCGTATCAAACAGCTCCTCTTCTTCTTCAGTCCATTTTACAACAAACCAGAGATCTGCGCATTTCCAGAAAGGAGATACAGCAGCTAGCCACACAAAGTACGCGTTAACTCAGTAGCCAGCAAAGATTATACGAGTAAGTATATACTTCGTGCATGCGAGCGTGTCGGAACTCTACAGTCGTTGCCATGCCAGCGCCTTCCACGAGGCCTTCGAGGTAAAAAGTAACATTTTAAGGAAGCGTACAGCTAGCTAACCTGCGTTAATGTTTGCGCAGGCAGCAAGTTTGCAAGGGTCTGTGTATAGTTGTGGTGCGTGTTGCGCGTAGGAGCCGGCGTCGCCACTGCATGCGTAAGGCGCAGCGTGTGTTGTATTTGAGCCTCCATTGTTTGTGCCCGCTTACAGTGTACCTAACATTGTACTAAAGCCTGTCCATGAAACCACAACTGTTTCTAAAGATGCCACAACCACTAATTACACCTCACTAGTACATTGTCATCTGTGCTCTTTCACTTTGCCCTGCAGAGCACCATCATGCAAGCTGTTCATTAAAAAAATAGCTAAAACAAGTGGAAAAATTGTTTCTTCAAAATGAATGGGGATATAAGGATGGCTTTGAGCACCAAAGAAGAAGAAACAAGGGGTCATTACACAGCAAGCACACACACAACTACGTGACACCATCCCTACATCTTTGTTCCACGTATATTCAACCCAAGGTATCAGACAAAGATATAGGGATGGTGTCATGTAGTTTTGTATACATTTGCTGTGTAATGATTCTTGTTTCTTCCTTTTTGGTGCTCCAAACCATCCCTATATCCCCCTTTATTGTGTATAACGAAGACCGCGTAGCAAAAAAAAAAAAAACTCTTCATCCTGCAAAGCACATTTTGTTTCTCACCAGTCTTCTCCTGAAGAAGATCACAAGCAGGCACAAGCGTAAGTTTCCTTGTATATCCTTACTACGAATGCCCTTCCTTTACTATAATCATTTCCTCCTAGAAATTCACCTGGAATGAAGGAAACTGTAACTTGTAAGAGTAATAAAATGAGGAAAACAAGTTTGTTGTGGATGAATTATGCCTAGGAATGGAGGAAAATACATACTGCTTTATGATATGTCACAATATGCATATTTTTATGCATTCCAGCTGAGTTTCCTTTGTCTATACAACCTATTTTATTATCTTTTGCATTGGCTCTAAAATACTACTCAAGTGCCTACTGTGTTAAATTTGACAAAGCAACAGGTAAAACCCATTGTGGTCAAGTCTTCAGTTAAGCACTAAATTTGAAAGGGCTCAGTGCAAGAATTGAATTAAGTATCCATTTTAGGTTAGATATTCCAAACTGAGCCACATTTCCCAGAGTATGAACCACTAGAAAGCTATAACCAATATGGTATCATAATTATCTATAATTTCCTCCATTCCTAGTGTGTTTCCTCCTTACAGCTAAGTACGCCAAACGGCTGGCACTGGTTGTTGGTTCTCCCAACCACTAGACGTCCACCCCCTTACGGAATGGGTCCATCCTTGAAGCCTTTAACTGAAGCTTCAGGAGGGTAGGGTTGGAGGTATCGTCAACATTGATGTCCTCAAACGTGATGTGAGTATATAGTCGGACGGGACTGTCACCTCTCCTGAGCGTAAAATACCGAAAAAGCATAGAGTTATGTTGGGGATAATGGGAAGTCGTGTGCCCTTTGCTGATAGGCTTCTTGTCTGAGTGGACTTGATGCTCTTAACTACCCCTTCCAACTTTGGCCCACCAGCAACGCCTGGATCTGGGAGGCCGGATGTTAGCTATTTGAATTGCCGAGAGATCTTTATCGTTGAGTCTAAAACACGTGCAGAAGCGTGTTGTGCTGATGCTTACGTACGACGAGAGGCTGGTGTTAGTGCCGACTGAAAATAGCGGTCCACAGCTTCGTCCAGTGAGATGTGAGATCCAGTCTGGCTGAGCAGTTACCAGGAGCTTCACTAACTCCTGGGATACTGTCGCTAAAGAGGCTTGGGCCTGTGGATAATGTGATAAAAAGTAGGCTCTGTTATTCCGAGATAAAGCACCCTCGAGGTCATTATGAATGCCTTATATGGGCTGCAGACACCATATTTGGCCACGGTAAAAGTAAGGCAGCGCATCAGGGACTCCTCCCTGCATGAGCCTGAGTTGATCAGAGCTGCGACTGCTGCGTCAACTGCACAGATTTTCCTGTCCAGAATTGTCCCCAGAGAGCCGCCGACATCACCACTGGGATCATATCTTGCACTGAAATGTGGGAGGCCTTGTAGGAACGCAAACGTATACGCAAGTGCGATCAGACCCGCCCATTTTGTATTGCGGCGCACGCTAATTACTAGTTGGTTAGCAGCATGCGCTTATATAGCAGCTGGCTGAAAAATGAGGAAAAAGTTGATGGTAGCACAGACGCAAGTACAACATGACATTTTTTCTCTGCAACTGCAGAAGCTAGCTACCAGTGGATGAAGCTAGTGCAGTTGCAAAAGGGATGGTGAAGAGACCACAGTCGGCCTCACCTGACTGCATTTGTACATTATTGTACTGGAGCTGAATTGTTTTTTTCTCTGTCCTCAAGATATCTGTATATACCTTGCTAAGGTCAGAACAATGACAGTACATACTGTCAATCCAATTGTGGATACTACCTGCCAGTGGGCTGGCCCTGCCTAGTGTGGAGTATCTGTATATAAACTCTCCCGGTTTGAACGTTTCAAAGGTGTTTGGTGAGTCCCAGGATAACATTATTAAACCACTAACCAGTGGATTTCCTATCTTTAAAAGCATTCGTGCTGCATTAATCAAGGACCCATAATGTTAGCCACTGGTACTGTACTTGGTGCACAATTATCGGCATCTATCATAAGGTGTTGCTAACAGATATAAGTTAACAAGTAAATGAAAAATCCTACGAATAAAAAAAAAGAGGCATATAGGGATGGTATAAAAAAAAAAAGGGAGACAAGATAGGAATGAGATACATGAAGCATAGTTAATGAACAGATTTGAGCATGCTAACACCCCCAACCCCATCACACAATCCCTATATTGTTGCCTGGTGGGCTATTTTTATACAAGTGGAAAAATCATTTCTTCCAAATGAAAGGGGGATATAGGGATGGCTTGAAGCACCAAAAAGGAAGAAACAAGGGGTCATTACACAGCAAAGTTGCACAAAGCTACATGACACCATCCCTATATCTTTGTTTTATTGTTTATAAGCAAAGTTTCCCCTCAGCTAAGTACACATGCAAGAAAACCTCTATTGCAGAGCCGTATAACAACAAAGATATAGGGGGAACTCCACTTGGACTCTATAAAGGTGTTGGTTACTCAGTAGTGTATTGTAAGTTCTGAGTATTGTAATGATGAATGTTTAATACTTCACCTAGGCAACAATAGGGATTGTGTGATAGGGTTGGGGGTGTCAGCATACTCAAATCTGTTCATTAACCATGCTTCATGTATCCAATCCCTATCTTGTCTCCCTTTCTTTTTATACCATCCCTATATGCCTCTTTTTTGAATTCGCATGATTTTTTATTTACTTGTCTCCACTCATTTTATACTACATAATATCTCTGTGGAAGGGGGCAAGCCCTTATAAAAATTAATGATAGA